GCCCTAAAAAATTGGTTGGATAGCAACAAGGAACATATAGCTCGTCAATATTTGGAAGAGGTAGAAAAATTTAATAATTCACAAAAAGTTATAGAACATATTATAGTATTTGATTTTCTATTCATTCTATTTTATATTATTTAATTGTAATCAATGTATTCATATACTATATTCTTATTTTTATGGGTAGAATGAATCATGTGTTACAATTGCACACGTTATGCCAATTGGTATCAATTAAAAGGTTAAACTGTTTATGTCATGCTGTTGCATTATATTGATTAGAATTATAGAACTTTAATTCTTAATATTTTTAGTGGTACTATATATGTTGTGAAGTGAAATTTTAAACTAATATTTATGATTTAACTTATTCGATATATAATATTATTTATTTGATTAAACTGAACTAAACTTAAAAAGTGGTTTGGTTTGGTTTGGAAAAATTTCAAACCTCATTAAGTAGTTTAGTTTGAAAATTTGTCACAAATTGTCTAAATTGAACCGTGTTTACCTCTACTTTTCTATGGTTGTTTCTACTACTTCTTTCATCGCAGGATGGTGTAGGCAGGAAATCGGAGTAAGCCACCCATCTATGTCCTCTCAGCTTCGTCCCCAGACCAACGATTATGAATGTTAAAAACTTGGACCATTTGATGGATATAATGGTGTTTGCGATATGGTGGTGCAGTGGATGTCCTATTGTTTTGGTAATGGTGGGTGGAGGATCTGCATAGTGGTGGTGTGGTGCGCTGTTGTCTGTGTAGTGGCGGGTCGTGGATCTATATGTTGGTGGTGCAGTGCACAGATCTACACAAGTGGTGTTGCGACAGTAGTGGTGCGGGAGTGTTAGTGAGATGATAGCGATGTTTGTGGTGGATGTTGATTTTGAGATTGGGGGAGTAGGGGATTGCAATGACGGTCATTTTTTCTATCTATCTCTCTATGGTTGCTGAAGGGGGTGTGGGTGTGGGTGTGGGGCGGGTTGGGATGTTGTGAGGCTGGGTGGAAGAAAACTAATGGCTATCGAAGGTGGGTGGTGGTGGTGTGAAGGAAAAAACAAGTCAAGAGTAGGAGAGAAGAGGTGGGTGGGATCATGGAAAGTAATATATGTGACCAATTAATTGGATAATTTGTGACTGATCAACAAAGTAGCTTATTAAATGTATGACTTTTGACTAAAATACATACTTGTGACCTACAAATTGTATCTTTTTGACCATAAATTTGGGTATTTATGACTAATAAATAATGTGACATATTAAATGTATGAGACTAAAACACATAATTGTGACCTATTACATAATCGTTATTATAAATTGTGTGATTGTGATCATGATCTCATTAATTAAATTATATGTCACAAACTTTTATAAAAAAAAAAAACAAAAAAAACAAAATGTGGCCAAATTTTTATCAGGGATGACTACCTGATTTTTGAAAGTTTAATAATTTTGAAAATATATCTTGAAACATTCGTAGTTATGTGATTTTTCCTTTTCCAAATCGTTTTGAGGGGTCCGTTTTAGTACTATGCGTGAATTTTCCCTAACTAGTTTTAATCATTAATTTAATAAAGTGTTTATTGGTGGCATGACTTTTTCTTGATCGAGAAATATGTGTGCTAATTATTATTTCTTTATTACTTTTCCTCCACTCCTGGATGTTTAGTAATAATTTCAAAAGCATAGATTGGTGGAGTCTTGTTGGGAATTTGTTTTCATTTCTGATGGGAAATGTGGTCTAACTTTAAATCAAGAAGTCAGATTTTAATTTTTATTTCTTTTATATTATCTAAAATAAAGCCAGCCCGCCGAAAAAAAATGTGGCCGAGGCTTTGACAGCCTCTAACAGGCCCAAGGTGAATAAATAAATTCAAAAAAAAAAAAAAAAAGTAGCCCCCACCATGTTGTGAGTGTAGGTCAGCCTTTCTGTCAAAATTTTTCTATCACCATAGCTCGGTTCTTCAGATTATTGAACATGTCAGTTTAGTTTAACGTGTACAATATTGAATCACACCATAAAAAGTTATGCATTTGTCGTCAACCTGTTGTTCGAGGGCCGCCTAACGATTTAATAGATTTGGATAATTTCTGTCGTTGTGATTTGATTGTGTACAATAATTAAGAAAATTCTACGTCGAGGATCAACTTAATTTTTCACTAAAGTTGGAGATTAAATATGTCATTATTTATAATTAATTATTGAAAATATGGAGAGCCGGACTATTGTGACACAAATAAATTTAAAAAATTGATGTATATTACTAACAATTACAAAATACAAATTCAATAGGATACTCGAACAGGGCCTTTACCTAGTCAAGAAAAACCACTTTATTTTCTTGATTGTTAGGTGCAGATAAATGAAAAATTAAGTAGTTGGAGAAGTCTAATAGAAACAATTATATAGGAAGATTTAACAACCTAATAATCGATTTGAGTATGGAATATTACATTATTACACAAGTCTATGTACATGCTGTATAACCAACCAAAATCTCATGCTTTCAACTTTTTCTTCAACTTTTACATGCTAGAGGAGGCTATTGAGTTTATGTACATTCTAAGAGTTCATTTCTCGACTCGTTTGATTAGATAAATTAATAATAATGAATAATATTGAAGGAAAATGTTGACAATAAAAAAATGACGTGACACTTTTGATCAAATTTATTGATTTAAACTGAAAAAGATGTTTTACTCCTGGAGTTTTGGTAATTATACATTGAGAATTTTCAATTTGAACCTCTTTATTATTCACTCTTCATCCCTTAACATGGTAGGTTGATGGAATCAAGCTACAATATTTCAACATCGATTTGTGTGCCACCATCGATTGAAGAAATTTGATTAGTTGGTGAGTTCCACTATGATGGACAGGGTCATGATGACACTTAGGCTATGTTTGATACCAAATGGGTTCCATCAGGGCCGATCCTGTGATAATGGAGGCTCGAGGCAAGGTCCGTAAATTGGGCCCCCGGACGAAATCAACGTAAAAATTTACGTAAAAATCTAATAACATTTTCAATTATGTACGCAAAAATTTGAGCATTACAAGTTTACGAAAACAATACAAAATTAAAATAACATCCAAAATCCAAAACTATCCCCAAAAACAAAAAAAAAAAAAAAAAAAAATTTGAAGCAAAATTGGGCCCCCTAAGGGTTTTGGGCCTGAGGCTGAGGCCTCAAATGCCTCAGCCCAGGACCGGCCCTGGGTTCCATGGAACTAGGAAAATATTCAAACATTTTCCACCTTTGTAGTGTTTGATAGGAAACATTTGCCATGGAAAATATTTTCCATCATTCCTTACCACCTAGACATTTTCTAGGTTTTGGATGAAAATGATATGGTGAGAAATCATTTTCTAGGCCACTGCTATTTTTATTTTCAATTTTTTTATTTGTTTTCATTTTTTTTTTTTTTTGGCAATGGAAACAAATTCTAAGAATTATTGTCAAAAAAAATATTTCACTTTAATTGATAATTTCCATGTAAAACAAAGTCAAACGAACATCAAAAGATAGATGATCTTTTTTTAATTTATTTGTTTTTGTTGGCAATGGAAATAAATTTTATCCCCAATACCAATAAATTATATCCATTTAATTAACAATTTTTATGTAAAATAAAGCCAAACGAAGACCAAAAAACACTTTTATTTAAACATTTTTCACGTGGAAAATTATACCAATCAAATGCAATAATTTACAATTCTCAGGAAAATAATTTCTAGACAATTCAATTCCTTCGAATTCGTTTTCTTTCTACTCAAATTCCATTTTTGCAATCAAACGGACCCTTAAATTTGTATCCTAAATTATCATGTCATCTTCTTAGTTGAATGATTTGAGCACTTCCTCTATCATATCGTATTGATATTTTCATATGATGTCTTCAGTAATTTGATTTCAATCTCTATCGACGGAGTAGCGGGTCAAGCTTTCAAGCTGAATTGTTTGGACTCTTCGATAGACAGGCTCTTTCAACCAAGTCAAGAGAATCCCTCAACTTATCCAACGTAAACGTTATGTTGACAACAATAGAAAAATATGAATAAATTAAAACTGCATTTGTTATAATGTTGGACCCTAGATCTATTGAGTAATCTTAATTTACCTTGTTTGGTGGAGATTAAAATATGATTTTTTGTAAACTTTAATAAAGATGATGGAATGTGTGGTTAAAAAGTTTAGATTTCTATGAAAAAAAAATAACTCTACATGTACATTATGGTATCCATAAGGTTGTCCATAACGTACATGTAGACTTTCATGATTGGAGGATTGAAAAACTTGTTTTTTAATTCTCCAATAATATTATATTACTTATACATTATAGACAGCATAATGTACAGCTAACATAACCCAATGAAAAATGTAATTAAAATTAATCATTGACTTTGATTTAGATCAAAATTTAGATTTTAATTTCTACCGAATTGGGATTTTGATTCATGTTTGTATCTTATACACGCCATTCATCAATTTCATATTTGTTTAAAGAGCTAACTAACACTAACTTTCATTATATATTGTTTACTGTTATTTATTATTGCATAACAAACGGGTTCTTAACTAGAATTCACAATTCTATCCTTAGCACACCTTCTATTAATTGATTTTTTGTTTTTTTTAAAGAAAAAAAAATAAAAAATTAACACTTAGAATATCATGAATGTATGGTGGCTAGCTTAAATGCAAAACTTCAGATTGTCTGATATTATATTAAATGTTAAATAAATTGTTAAAAAAGGACCAATTTTATTAATTTAAATTATATCTTCAAACATAAAATAGATTTTTGCCAACTTGACCCGAAGTTGGTGTATAGTAAAATAACTTTTTTCAATAAAAATACATTTAACGTTTCGTGGTTTTATGTAACAAAGACTAGTCTTTCGATGAAAATTTCAAATCAGACCCTTTCCAAAGTTCTATCATTTAAAGGGACCATTTAAAATGATTGACCTCAAGGTAACCCCAAACACTACATTTCAAACTAACGAATCATAAACATGCTTATGAATTATTTTGCTGTCATATTTAGAGAGAATACAAATAATTTCTAAATAATTCTTTCAATTTATACAAAACTATTATAGACTGTCCGCAAACCATCAAAACTCTACGGACTTATTTGGCAAACCGTACTAGATAAGATGAGCTTTTAACTTCTTTATCCTCGGTAATATAATTCAATGTAGACTTCACCTCACCACACAAGTCACTTATGTACAACAAGCAACTATCAAGAGGTACCAAGAACCGAAAATGAAAACCTTGCTCAAGCAATATGAATTTAATCACAACAAATTGGACATCGTACAAGTCCATTTTCATTGCAATCAGGACATCGATGAAAGCCATATTCTTGCTCATTTTCATCATATTCTTTCTCAAAATCACCCTCGTAGTATATTTTACAGCTCCCGGAACATGATTCACAAGGCACAAATCTAATATCCCCACAAGCTTCACAAACTCCAATTCTTCCACCTCTACTGCCATCCTCCACCAGTTCACAGCTTTCCACCACCTTTTGGAGCTGTCCCTCGTCGTTCATTAGCCGGACTTCCTCTGCCCCGCCAATATATTTCTGTCCAACGAAAATTCTCGGCAAGCCACCGTGGAACCCGTCCCCCAATAACTCTTTCAGCTCCTCCCTGAATCCTGAATGCATTGATACATCCCTCTCATCAACCTTGACACCAAGTCCTTTAAGAATCACTCGAACTTGGCAGCAATCCTCGTATGTCTTTCTCACACTTCTTAGGCTTGTATAATACACAATCACCTTGTCTGTACCCCATTTTGCAATAATCTCATTCTCCCCGGAATTGACATTCGCTTTTTGCTCATGATCTTTTACCTCCAAAGGCTGATCCTTTCCGGCCATTGCTGCCTCCTTGTCACTGTCCAATGAGTTGAGATGATAATGATTAGCCGGGGGAAGATCCTTGAATGCTTTTCGGAAAGTGGAAATCACTTCAGGACCAAATTCTGAAGTTATAGATGCATCATCTGAATTTGAATTTGAATTCGAATTCGATTCATTGTCAGACATAACGGGCCATAATGGAATGAATGATGCTTCATTATTTTCTTTCACTTTTGGCATTGTTTGATCCGCAAGATGAGACATAATTGGATTACAAGGAACATGGACTGATGAAGTACTTGAATTCAAATTCGAATTCGAATCATTGTCAGTCATATTGGGCCACAATGTAATAGATGACGCTTCACCATTTTCTTTCAATCTTGGCGTAGTTTGCTCATCAAGACGTGACAAATGTGGATTATGCGAAACTTGGACAGAGATACTACGAAGATGATGAGGCCTTAGAGGGCCAGTGTCTTCAAGACCCTCCATTAATTCCCAAACATTGATAATCTCAGGCTCACCCGGAGGAGTTTTTGTAGGTGTTTTAGCCAACACCTTTGGGATTTTCTCATCAATCATTTTCGACCAAGTTTTTGCCTCGATGATCTCCATTTTGAACACATCTTTAATCACTTTCTCTTTATTGATTCCCCCAGTTTCAATAGGAATCACATCTTCTATAAAATGATTCTGATTTAACGGATGATTCCGATTTGATGTGTCAAGCATCAAAGAACCCAATGTAGAGGAAGAAAAAGCCACCATATGGTGGCTATCATCTGATTTCTCTGGCTGGTGGCGGAAGTGCTTTGAGTAGCTCCGCCGCAGCGGCGCCTTGCAATTCTGACATAATATTTTCTTCGAACTTACGCAACCCATTATCAGAAAAAATCCAAAAAATAATCTAACCCAAATATAGAAATGAATTACTTTTTATGAAAACAATCTGATTATTAAAGAATTGAACAAATTTATTTCTCGCAAAACGGATAAAAAGAACATTCCCAGATGAATGAGCTGGAAGTATAAACGATTGGGTAGAGATTTCAAGAATTTAAATAATCAAGACCGAGGAATAAAAATCATTACAAAAAAAAAAAAGGGTAAAAATGAATCATCTGGGATAAATTGCAGAAATTAAGAAAGAAAAATAGTATTAAAATACTATTACCTAAATAGAATCGATCAAAATCGATGACAGAGAGAGAAGATCAAGTGGATTGTTCTCTGCAAAACAAGGCAAATATAATTCATTCCAAGGAAAACTGATTATAAAATCTTAAATTTCAGACAACACACCAAATTAGAACATGCGACATAAAATCTTAATAAGACAACAATGTCTGAACAAATAGGATTAAAAATTTCCAGGAGAAATGTAAGACATCTCACATCTGGATATATCGCACAGGAAATCAAGAATTGGAAATTGAAGAACGAGAAAACTGGAAGTCAAAAGAAGAGGGCAAAGAATAAGACCATTTCAGCAGCTTCTTCACACTCTTCTCTCACTTCCCACTTTTCCTCCCCTGAAGAAAGACATCTTGAAATGTGACTCTTCTACTAGGAATTGGTGTTTGGTTGACAAGGAATTGGTGGTGTTGTTAAAGAGTCCTTGAAGAAGTCAAAAATACGAATTTGCCAAAGTTTGAACAGAGACAGGGTGTCCAAGCACGGGGTCTGGGCGCCTAGTCCGGGGGTGTTTTGAAGATGTTGTCCCGAGAAGCAGCATCCACGCACTATAGACACAGCGCTCGAGCACTGCACGTGCTGCTCACTGCCCCGCGAGCTGTGGCGCTCGAGCGGCGATTTGTCCAGCTCTAATCCTTCTATAACTCTATTTTTAAGATTTATATGCAGCATCCACGACTTATAAATATAACATAACATTGATATAGATGTGAGAGAGCTTTAGATCTTGATTGAGAGTATTGAGATCATGTATAAACAACTTTCATTATTAATTATACTGAAATGCTCCGCCCGTGGTTTTTTTGTGTCTTGGGCTTCCACGTAAAATCTTGATGTTCTTGTCTTGTTTGATTTATTTCATTATTGCCAATTATCTTGTGCTTATTTCACAACAGACATTAAGGGAGTATTTGTTTTCCATTTTTGTAAAAATAAGAATGAAAAGATAGTCGTTATGAGCTCCACATAAGAGATATAAATTCAAATTTGGTGGCTTAATGTGTAGATAACAGTCACATTTTTCATTTTAATGAAAAAAGAATGGGAAACAAACAGGGACTAAATGGGTTCAGAAATGGGTAAACTGTTACATCTGGAGAGATTGCAATGAATGAGACTAATGACACAATATATAGTAATAAAGATCACAACAAAAAATAATATTAAAAATAATGAAGAAAAAAGAGAGTTAATTGCAGAGGAACGGCCTATATTAACTAATATATGGAAAGAAATTAGAGACACAGCAATAATGCTTAAACAAAACTGATAGAGGAGTCTTATATTTATAGGCCACATTCCAAACCCTACAAGAGTCCTAAAAGGTAAAAAAAAATATGTTTAAATTAGGTTACAATTGCACATAGAATTTCAACCGAGAGAGGATTTCATTTCTTTATTCAACTTGGATACAATATTTCTTTCCAAGTAAAAATCAGATATGCGATCTCACAAGACTCCTAACCATATTTGAGTTACAACACCTAACAATATCCATCTTAACTCAAATTTCGATGCAACGAGCGGAGCTCCACAAAATTTCTTCACCTGAAAAATAAATCAGTTTGCATCGAAATGAAATGGCCAATCTCCTCAAAGCAGTAACTAAAACTCTCCATATAAATCATTGTCCTCTACACGACGTCCACAAGCGACTACTGAACCCTACTCTTGGGTTCCCAAAATTCCATGAAGGAATTAATGTTTACCAAATAGGGTCAAAGCACACCATATAGCAGAAACCATACAAAATGCCTGAATAGAAAGCCCCTTGCTAGAACTGTCTCCTTTAACGTCCCCAAAAGCATTATAGACATTACTGACACCATGGTACCTATGCTCATTGGATCCAACCCTAGCAATTGAACACAGTACAACTGCTGAAACTGGTGGCAAAGCGAAATCACTAATGCTCCCTTTAGTAATGTTTTGAACCAACCCATAGCACTCACAAAAGGTACTGTACCAAACTGAATATCCACCACGATATTGAATTTGTCCAGATGTCTCTTAACTGGTTCCGTGCTCTCCTATAAGATGTACAACTGAGACATTCTCCGTCCCTCTAGTACAACCTGGACACCCTTTCGGACTTTCGAGACTCCATTTCCAACAGATAATTTATACCCTTTTGCATTCAGAGTACTAAATGAGATGAGATTCCTTTTCAGGTCTACATGTCGAACTTGATTAACCTAAATCTGACTCAACTAATCCTAGCAATACAGCAATACTAGTTGTATGCCATTACAACTCCACCTTACTGAACAGTCTCATTTGTCTGAAAGAAATTTCGATTGGAACACAAATGATGCGAACATGCCAAATTGAGAATTCACTCCTCCTCAAGCCTAGATTCCACGTTAAATACCATGGTCAACATCACATCTCTCCTGTCTGAAAAATCCTCAACTACATTTATTTCATCTGAAGTCAAAGGTTGAGCTCTACGATTTGAAGTTAAATCATCTTTAGCCTGCAACTTACCGCAATCCTTTCAAATATGCCCCTTATTAAAAACTAATTATTCTTATTCTTCGATCTGCCTATCCATCGACCACCATGAGATACAAGAGCTTCCTCATCCCTCGATGTAGCTATAACCAAATGCTTCAACTTCTCCTTAGAGTGAAAAGCATCATAGACGTCGTCTATAGTCAAAGTATCCTGATTATACAAAATGGTGTCCCAAAATGACGCATAAGAGCTTGACAGCGAACACAACATGATCAAGGTCAGATCCTCTTCATCGCACTTAACATTCAAAGTCTCCAGATCTACAACCGTTTCATTGAACACGACAAGATGGTCCTCCAGTGACCCTTCTTCCGCCATGTGATGAGAATACAACTTTTGCTTTAGAGCCAGATTGCTCGTGAGACTTTTAGTCATGCATAACTGCTCCAATTTCAACCACAAAGTAGATGATGTTTTCTTCTTCAAGACATCTTATAGAATATTGTTGGATAAATGAAGATAGATCTACGATAAAGCCTTTTGATCCCTCCATTGTCCAATCAGCTAGCATCTTCTCAAAACTTAGCAGCTTATCGTCTAAATCCAACTGCGCCAGTATAGTCCTCATCTTTACTTGCTAGAAAGAAAACATTGTATTCTATCTAGTAGCGGAATATCATACCTCATGGTAGTCATCTATGAAAAACCTCAACCAATCCACAGAGAAAGAACCAAGCTCTGATACCACTTGTTGGACCTGGAGGGATTGTAATGAATGAGATTAGTGACACAATATGTAATAATAAAAATCATAATAAGAAAGAAGATTAAAAATAAAGAAGAACAAAGAGAGTTAATTGTAGAGGAACGATGTATATTAATTGACAATATGGAAAGAAATTACAGTGTTGTATTTATAGGCCACGTTCCAAAACCTAGAAAAGTACTAAACGGTAAGAAAATCTGTTAAAATTAGGTTACAATTGCGCATAGAATTTCGATTGAGAGAGGATTTCATTTTCTTATTCAACTTGGATACAATCTTCCTTTCCAAGTAAAAATCAAATACGCAATTTTACAAGATCCCTAACTACTTGTTGGACCTGAAAGGATTGTAGTAAGTGAGATTTTTGACGCGATATGAAGTAATGAATATCGCAACGAGAAACAAGATTTAAAAGTAAAGAAATTAACAAAGAGAATTAATCGTAGAGGCACACCGTTTTATTAATTAACAATATGGAGAGAGAAACAAGAACTAAACAATTCTTACTTGAGCAAAACTGAAAGAAGAGATCCCTATTTATATGTACATAGCATAACATAAAAATGGAAACAATGTGGAATAAGGAAATAATATATTTCCATAAAAATCACGTGAAATATAAGTAAACAAGTTTTCCTACATGAAAATAAGGAAACAATTTATTTCCAAAAAAAATCCACAATAATTTGGGTCATAGAAACAAGTTGACTACTCAAATTATTTTAAATAGTTTTAACTTATTGTTTTACAAGTTTGATTTCTCACTTGTTTACCATTTCTTGTGGAATCGAGTGGCTTGATCAACATTAAACTAAGTTCCTCTTTGATTGCCATATTTGAGATTTTTAATGTGAATTTTTTATGTGTAGTTAAAAGTAGGAAAAAATAATTTTGAAGTAAAGATGTCAAACAAGATCTAATATTTATTCAATTTTAAGCTAAGGCAAACTTCCATTTTGTTATTTCCAGGTAAAAATTGGGATTTAGTTAAATTACAAGCAAAAATGCTGATAAAATATCGAGTAAATTAATTTCCTAAATATTCAAGAATGTTAATATACAAGGTAGATAGACAATTTCACAACTTTTATCAAATTTACTAAAAATATAAGATTGTGAAATGTGAGAAGGCGTGACAAATAATAAAGATTGTCGCAAAAACATGAGAGAAGGAAGGCGCCAAAATTATTTTTGGTGGGAAATTTTTGGTGGTAAACTTTTATTTTTTGCAACAAAGTGGTTGTGATGCAATAGGGTCTACTTTTTGCAATAACGAATATTTGTTACTAACATTATATAGATTGAGGAAAAAATCGCTACAAGAATTTTTTTTTTTTGCAATGGACAAAGAAGGTTTCCTTAGGTCTCCACAAAGCTCACTCATATGTTGTAGGTTCTAATGTTATCATAGAGTAGAAGGATATATCATCGTACGATGCACTTTTCAAAAGGCCTCAATTCAAGTTGTTGTTATGTTTTGCGACGTACTTTGCCGTTGTTTTTATTATATTTCACAATGCTCTTTGCTTGTTGTCTTAACTTTTTCTTGCAACGTTCTTTTGTTTTTTTATTTTTTTTTGTGTAACAAATGTCTTATTTTTTTGTCTAGTTAAAGATGACATTTTAATATGTAATATAAAAAAAATTATTTTAATAAAAACTTTATAAAATGTCTAGAAAAAACTTATCTTTAACAAAAATTAAAAAAAAATCATTAGACAATTAAACTTTCAATCACACAATAACTTATAAGAAAGAACTACCAAAAAAAAAAAAAAAAAAAAAAAAAAAAAAAAAAGAAGTAAAAATGACCATCTTTTTTTGGTATTAAAAAATTGTTTTATTTTTAAATTTTCTATTTTACCGTGCAATGGCTATATTCCTGAGTGGCAAACCAAGAGGGAAGACCGCGACTCCTCAGGATTAGTTGGGCAAAATTCGGACACTTGAGTCACAAAAAAAGAGAGAGGCTATTTTCTAGAGAAGTTGATGGAAAATGAGTTGTCACTGAAGAGAAACAGGCAGTTGAAAGTTTCCGGAAAGGTTACATTTTTGCAGGAAAAGACGATAAATTCTATTTTTAAATTTTCCACTAGACCCACTGTTCGGATGCTCAAGCTCAATATCATGCATATTGCTTTTCTGTATGGTATTTTCAATTCTTTTCCTGGATGCTAAATGCATGAAAAATTCAAATAACTTCCCTTGACAAAGGTTTCTTCCAAGTGAAAATCCCCAATTCTCAATTGACGGCACGGTCCAATAGGCCACCACCACTCTCTCATGCCTCCATTGCCGTCAACCACATCCATAGGGTTTTCTACTTATTCCTTATATGAGAAATTTCAGTAGTTCAATCTGCATTTTTTCCGCTTCTAATCCGTTGAGGAGAAACATAGATTTGCAATTTTTG